ATTGCTGCTGTAGGTGTGGTTTTAAATGCTCCAGTACATAATCTTAATGCCTGATGTTGGATAATGTCTAATTTAGCCAGATGTGTTTTAGCTGCTGAACCGTATATTATGCAACCAAAGTCTATGTTAGATCTAATCATACCTGTGTAAATCTGTTTTAGTGATTGCCTATCTGCTCCCCAGTCACTACCAGCCAAGCATCTCATAATATTTAATATTTTCTTACATTTATCAATAATTTTTTGAATATGTATATTCCATTTTAGTTTTTCATCAAAACATACTCCTAAAAATGTTACACACTTTACTTGCTCTAATTCTTGGTTATATAATTTTAATTTTATTTCCTTTTTTATTTGTTTCTGATTAAATATCATTACTTTTGTTTTTTCAACTGAAAACTTAAACCCCCATTTCAACGCCCATTTCTCTATTTCAATAATAACCTCTTGTAATTTCCTTACAATGAAATCTACATTTTTTCCTCTTTTCCAAACAGCTCCATCGTCTGCAAAAAGTGAACACCCCATTCCTTTTCCAATATCTTTAAATACATCATTTATCATAATTGAGAACAATACTGGACTTATAATACTCCCCTGCGGGGTTCCATTTTCTACTATATATTTTCCTGATATAATTTCACCAATTCTGACTTGTATTTTCCTATTTGTTAAAAAGTCTTTAATCCATTTGAATATTTTCCCTTTAATACCCAACATGTATAATTTAATTAATAATCCCTCAACCCACATCATATCATATGCTTTTTCGATATCAAAAAACACTGCCACTACACTTTCTTTATTTACTTGTGCTCTTCTAATTTCATGTTCTAAACATAGTGTTGAATCATTAGTATTTCTCCCTTTTCGAAAACCACTTTGATATTTTGATATAATTCCTTTATTATTTAAATAATATACTAGTCTATTATTAATAATTTTTTCCATTATTTTACATAGATTTGATGTTAAAGCTATTGGTCTGTAATTTTGTGGATTTGAATTATCTTTTCCTGGTTTAGCTATTGGTACTATAATTGATTCCTTCCAGTTCATTGGTAATTTTCCCTCCTCCCAAATTTTATTGTATAATTGCAGTATTATATCTTTTGATTTTTCACTAAGTTGACTTATCATTCTATACACAATTTCATCTTCACCTGGTGCTGTATTCTTTGTCTTTCTAAGTGCACCATTCAATTCAACTTTTGTAAACTCAACATTCATTAAATTATTTGTTTCTTCAATACTCTATAACAATCCTTTATATTTAAGTTTTGTATTTTCTCTTTCTTTTCTTCCCTCTTCACTAATATTATTTGAACTATGAATTTTACTAAATGTTCTTGCCATTATTTCAGCTTTATCTTTATCTTTTATTATATTCATATTATCTATTTTTAATGTAGGATATTCAAACTCTCTCTTTATTCCATTCATTCTTCTAATTATTTTCCATATTTTTCCTATCTTTGTGTCTCTTCCTATCGTGCTACAAAAACTTCTCCAATACTCTCTTTTTGCAGTCTTAATAGTTCTCCTCACCATTGCTTGCTTTCTTTTACACAAACTCCTTTTTTTGGAGCCTGGACTTAAGAACGTGCACACGCTAGAACGCAGCCGCGCGCACGTCGGCGGAAGTCACCTGACCCAACTACGGGAGCGCAAGCTGAGTGAAGCCTACCCCCCAATTGTAAAACTCTTATCGTCTCATTTATTTTATTTTGAATAGTTTTTAACACACACACACACACTGAAACAAGCACACACATGTTTACTGTTTTATTTCTAAATTGTAATACATACTCACACACACTGTTTTGTTTTTACCTTTAGGATTCAGTGCTTAGTGTAATTTTTCAAAGTACAACTTTTTATATCTTGATAAATTGTTCCTAGGTTATGCAGAACATTATTACCAATATTTCAGAATCGATAGAAGCTCATATATATTCACTCTCCTTATATTTTTTCAAGAACCAAATATATATTTGTCAACAATGAAAACACAGTACATTAAACTATTTTTAACCCCTAGTATTAATAATCATCTGTGAAATCAATGAAAAGTTTGGGACACACCACCTTTTCACATATCAACACAAAACTGTCTGTTACAAATGTGTTAGCTTAGCATAATGAATTGAAGTGAAAGGAAACATTAGCCCACTCTGTCCCACAGTAACAAACTACAGAAACCCCAAGCTGTCCTGTTTCCAGGTATGTCTGAAATAAACACCATCATATGAGGACTATTTCATAGGAGTCATTTTAGGGGAAATCACAGCTTTTATAAGGAATATAATGACACCGTGTGAAGTCTAGCCTCCGTTTGAGTTTTGTGACAGTCATTGTAAACTAATCTAACTACACCATATCCATTATTTCTTCAGGGTCAGGCCTATAGGGAGAGGAAGAGAGAAAGATGAGGCTGAATGTCCTGTTGTAGTGAGCTGCAGCCCAGCGGGCCACAGTCTGACTGAGCTCGTTAGCCTGAAATGAGGAACACCTGTCTCCACTTAGTCCCTGAGGACAGCAGAGCAGAAAGTTTCTGAGGGGAGTCTGTGTGGCTGGGTGGGGTGTGGCTTTTCTTCTCTGCATGGTCATCTCCCACTTCTCTTTTCTTCTATCACAGGTAGACGACATCTCCAGGATGCTGAGATACGTCCAGCCAAGTGGGGACGAAGTCAGGACTTCCTGCTGAAGTCCACTGAGACCCAGGACTACCTCACCCAGCTCCAGCACGCTGAAATGGGCCCATCCCCCACACTGACCTCCATCAGAAACAGGATCCGCTCTGGTCAGGGTTTGAAGACTCTCCTCAACCTGCTGCAGCAGATGCTGACCTCTACAGGAGCTGCTGACCAGGTCAGCTGCTAATCTGCCTCCATTTCTTTTTCTTTAATGGCTTCCTCCATGTTGATGGGACTTATGTGCTGGCAGTACATCAGGGCTTATGTGATGCAGACGTGTGTGTCATTGTCCCCTCATTGTTGTCTGGTGTGTGATTCTAGGTCTGACCGGTTCCATGAGGGTCAGAGGAGCCTTCACGTGGGCCAGGCAGTCCTACGGAGGCCCAGGAGGGACATGCTGTCCATTTATGGGAGGCTGATGGAAGGTGACCACGTGGCTTCATAGGAAAAGACTCTTCTGCTCTTACTGTGAAGCAGTCCTGATCCTGGGTCACTTCCAGAGACCGGGAGCGGTGGAGGACTAACGGGAAGTGTTAAGAGCTCAGTCTCTGTGGGGGGAGCAGCCTAAACGGGTTATATTAGGTAGTCTGAGAAGAGGTTATAACAGAATATTTGACACAATTTTATTTGTTTTTGTTTTTATACATATTTGTTTTAGTTCTGTTTTTTTTCTTCCCTGGTCCACACTTGTTACATTTACTAAGGTTCTGTATCATACCTGTCCATATACAGGGGTTGGACAATGAAACTGAAACACCTGGTTTTGGACCACAATAATTCATTAGTATGGTGTAGGGCGTCCTTTTGCGGCCAAAACGGCGTCAGTTCGTCTTGGGAATGACATATACAAGTCCTGCACAGTGGTCAGAGGGATTTTAAGCCATTCTTCTTACAGGATAGTGGCCAGGTCACGACGTGATGCTGGTGGAGGAAAATGTTTCCTGACTCGCTCCTCCAAAACCCCCCAAAGTGGCTCAGTAATATTTAAATCTGGTGACTGTGCAGGCCATGGGAGATGTTCAACTTCACTTTCATGTTCATCAAACTAATCTTTCACCAGTCTTGCTGTGTGTATTGGTGCATTGTCATCCTGATACACGGCACCTCCTTCAGGATACAGTGTTTGAACCATTGGAAGCACATGGTCCTCCAGAATGGTTCGGTAGTCCTTGGCAGTGACGCGACCATCTAGCACAAGTATGGGGCCAAGGGAATGCCATGATATGGAAGCCCAAACCATCACTGATCCACCCCCATGCTTCACTCTGGGCATGCAACAGTCTGGGTGGTACGCTACTTTGGGGCTTCTCCACACCGTAACTCTCCCGGATGTGGGGAAAACAGTAAAGGCGGACTCATCAGAGAACAATACATGTTTCACATTGTCCACATCCCAAGATTTGCGGTCCTTGCACCATTGAAACCGACATTTGGCATTGGTAGAGTGACCGAAGGTTTGGCTGTAGCAGCCCGGCCGTGTATATTGACCCTGTGGAGCTCCAAACGGACAGTTTTGGTGGAAACAGGAGAGTTGAGGTGCACATTTAACTCTACCGTGATTTGGGCAGCCGTGGTTTTATGTTTTTTGGATACAATCCGGGTTAGCACCCGAACATCCCTTTCAGACATCTTCCTCTTGCGTCCACAGTTAATTTTGTTTGATGTGGTTCGTCCTTCTTGGTGGTATGCTAACATTACCCTGGATACCGTGGCTCTTGATACATCACAAAGACTTGCTGTCTTGGTCACAGATGCGCCAGCAAGACGTGCACCAACAATTGGTCCTCTTTTGAACTCTTGTATGTCACCCATAATGCTGTGTGGATTGCAATATTTTGAGCAAAACTGTGCTCTTTCCATGCTAATTGGACCTTCACAGTCTGCTCTTATTGGTTCAATGTGCAATTAATGAAGATTGGCCACCAGGCTGGTCCACTTTAGCCATGAAATCTCCCACACTAAAATGAGAGGTGTTTCAGTTTCATTGTCCAACCCCTGTACTTGTCCCTATCAAATAAACAAACAAATAAATAAATAAATAAATGAATAAATAAATGAGGAGGGTCTGAGGCAGGAACCACTGAGACCAGGACCTGAGTCCAGGAGGGCACCTTTATTCTGCTGCCCCCCCCCCGGTCAGCCCTCGGTCAGG